GCCTGCAGCGTGCAGCTTTGGCTCCTTGTTTTGTTTGTTTAGGCACTGCTCAGTTCAGTTTGGGTAGCTGTCAGTTCTGTTCCACAGAGATACTCACCTGTGTATAGGAATCGGTGTGTTAATTAACGTACATACATTTACATTTGTACATATATCTACAAGATGCTTACCTGGATAATGTAGGAGCAGTTGTCTGACCATGCCTCCTCCAGGTTCTCAGGCATTGCAGTGTTTAACCTTGAAATCTAAAATTGGAGGAAAGCAGGAGAACGACATGGGCTTTTTGTGCATATTCTAACCTGTGGCTTGCAGATGGGTTTTGTGAAGGGCTTTGCCTTAGCTGTTGCATTGATTTTCTTCGCAGGTTGCTACAGTGACGGAATATGGGGCATTTATAAAAATTCCAGGCTGCAGGCGGCAAGGTTTGTTTCTCTTACTTTGTTCAGATGTTGTTTCATCTGATGGTAGTGACAGGACAAGGGGAAGGGTTTGAAGCTGCAAGAGGGGAGATGGAGATGAGATGTGAGGAAGAAATGTTTTCCTGTGCGGGGGGTGAGGCAGTGGCCCAGGGTGCCCAGAGAAGCTGTGGATGCCCCATCCCTGGAGGGGTTCAAGGCCAGGCTGGATGAGGCTTTGGGCAATCTGGGCTAGCTTTTTGGTAACTTCAGGATATTTTAGAGAATCATTTTAAGGTATTGGACAAAACATAGATACTTTCTCCAGTTAGTTTGCCAAACTTATTCCTTTTATGGCAAATATAAATGAGTTAAAGACTGAGATGAAACTCAAATTAAGAAAAAACTGGAAAAGCTCTCTTAAAGCTCTGGCAGTGTCGGTGGGAAATTTGCAAAATCAAACTCATTTTACAAAAGAAATGGCTTAGGGCGGATGTTCTGTCAGGTGCTGATTGGCCCACAAATACCCCCAAAAACAACCTCTCTTTGCTCTCCTCTGGAAGCGCCCACTCACTGTAGTGCCAGTTCTAATAAAAGTTTTTGGACAGAAGTGTGGCTGCTGGAGGGAAGTCTCTGAGATTGAAACGGGCCCTGAAATACAAGCTTGATCCGCAAGGCGTGTTTCCATATTTATCCTCCTTTTTATAACCCTGGAACCTACGTGTCCTTCATGCAAATTAAAAACCCAGGTTTGGGGCTGGGTGACCTTGCGGGCGCAGAGCAGGGCAGCCTTGGCGTTTCTGCTTTTGCCTTTGCCAGCAAAGTGGCGTATTGCTGACGTGTGAAATGGGCTCTTTATTCTCAGGTGCTTGGAGTGGCCTCAGAGAACAGGCGGGAGGGGAGGGGTGTTAGTGCCTGCCTCAGTTTTCCTTCTAATATTTTGCATTGCTTTGGGGACCTGCTTGTCTGAGTTAATTTTGAGCGGATCTTGATGAACTTTTATATGTTTGATTGATGCAACTGGTTGATTCTCACCTGCATGAGGTACCAAAGGAAAGACGTGGTTAGTTTTGCTTAGGGCAGCCATGAAATATGTTCCCTGTCTCCCAGAGCAGTTGTCTCCAAACGTTCTTAGTTGTTCTCTGCCTGTGCATGATCAGTTAACCCTATCAGTTAAAAAATTTTTGTCCACACACCTTCCAATATATGTATATATGTTTATGAATTATAGATATGTGATGTTGTAGTAATGTTATGTACCTTATAAAGGATACTCAAAAATAAAAAAGGGTGAGCAGAAGACAAAATAAGCACTGTTAATTTTTTTTTTAATTTTATTTATTAATGGTACAAAAATATTTTCTTCTCACACCCCAAAGGATTGTCTCTCATCTGCCTCACTTTGGAGGCTGCTCTCCCAGAGGGCAAAACTGAGATTCAGTGGAGGCTTGTCTTTACCTTTTTGCTTTCTTTTCCAAATCCATTCCCAGGCCTTGTCCATAGGACTCACATGTCCTCCTGCCGCGTGGATAAACCCTCGGAGATAGTAGATGTTGGAGACAAAGTATGGGTGAAGCTTATTGGAAAAGAGGTAACGTTAATCTTGTTTCTTCAGTGCTATGTAAATAAAATATACTGCAAATCCACCGAGAACTTCTGCGCGCAGAGGCTGTGTGTTGTGTCGCCTTGTCGGGGTTTAACAGGCTCTGTTTTACAGCCAGGTGAATTCTTTTTACCTCCAGATGTGGCTTTGGGCACATAGCTTCTGTGACATGCAAGAAAAAGGGACTTTGTAAAAGCTTTTGGCTTAAAAGCAGCAAAAGGCTTCCCTTCCTTCTCTCTGTCACCTTACTTTGTGATTTGGTGAATGAGCAATTTAGAAGATCCTGAGATAAGAGCCGATATAAACGCTGTTCAGTCACTGTTCTGAGAGACAGACCTGTTGTTAGAAGAAGCGAGATACTTATTTTTTTGCTTTCAGCAAAGTGGCAGTGAGTTATGCCCAAGAAAAATAAAGAGGTTTTTTGTTTTAATAAGAACATTATACATTTTTTTTTCTTCCCCCTGCAATCTACATTGCTTTTTCTTCTGCAGAAGATGTGACATGGGCATATCAGCTGTATTTAAAGATTACTTAGAACAAAAACTAAAGACTCTTGCTTTGGCGAGCCATGGAATCAAAGCAAGCTGACTGAATTTTCTTGAGAGTGACGTGGAAGCATTTGATTCAGAGCTGCACAGCATTTGGCCTTAAATCCTTTGCTTTTTTTTTTTTTTGAAAGAAGATAATCGGGTTGATGTACAAAACAAAGATTTTTGTGTGAGATAAGGGAAATGGGTTGAGAAACTTGGTTTATATATGCAGTAGAGAAAATCTATGTGAAAGACTCTACAGATTCTTTGTAGCCATCTGTGGTGTGCTTTCCTTTTTAATTTTGTTTGTATAAATTTTTATTAAGCCACTGTTTTCATTATTGGGAGCACAGTTGTTTGGTTCCTGGCTTCTTTGCTGTAGACACAAGGGACAGAAACATGTTGGAGAGGTGAACGGTGGAAGAGTTCATTAGATTGCCTGCAAATAACTGCATACATGTCATGACCAGACAAAACAGGAATACCCTCAGTAGCAGCATTGGTGAAAATGCAGAAAGTTGTAAGAAAGGCTTGAGAAAACCCCAAGCATACAACTTTTGCTCTTCTTTCTGAAGTGATAATGTGGCAATCAAGGACTTACTGGGATTCAGAAAAGAATAAGCCCCTGATAGAGATACTGAAAACATTCTTAGTCTCCTAAGAGGATCGAAATGGGAAAAGGGATATAAAGTTTTATTTTTCAGGATGCAGATTGGCCAAAGTACTGGTCCGGGGGAACTGCCTTGGGGTGGATGATCTGAGAATGATAACAAAGCTTCCAAACATGAACTTTCTTCTACAGCTCTTGGGTCTGGTCATATTGAAAGCAGAATGTTAATCTGAATGGACGTATGGTTTGATCTTGTCTCATTACTGAGATAGCTGCTTAACAGAAGCTGTTTTATTAACGAGAATACTCTAAATGCAGCTACAAAGCGACAGAACAAAAGCACTTTCATGCAGTATCCTTTTCAGTGCTGCTCTTTGCTAACTAGCGATTTCCTTCCTTCTCTGGAGGCCTCCAGATACAGTGTATTAATTCACATTATTGTCATTTATTCTTCTCATGCCATATCTTTCTCTTTCAGATGAAGGATGACAAGCTGAAGCTTTCCCTCTCCATGAAGGTTGTTAACCAAGGCACAGGGAAAGACCTGGATCCAAACAATGTTTCCCTTGAGTAGGTAAATCTACTGAGCAGACTAGAACAGGTCAGACAGGTTGCTGCTGCCTGCATTCCTGGCTTTCCTGCCATACTTACTCCCTAGGTCCCCCCCTCTTTTGGAGGTGAGGGGGGCTCTTCCTGAGCCCCCAGCGATGCGCTGGCCAGCTGGAGAGCTGACTGAAGGTGCTTCCTGGGTTACGCTGCCTAGAGACAGGCAGGAGCTGGAGGAGGCTGCGGGGAGTTGCAGCCCTTCACCCCATGGCAGGATTTTCATTCCTGCGATGTGACGGCCGTGCTGGGGATTTGTCTTGCTTTCACATGCTACAAAATCAAATCTTCACTGCTCAGATGTTTCAGAGCTTCCTGGTCTGCCATTTTTTGTGATGGCTCTTGCAGGTTGAATAAAATAGTTTTGTTTTTGTCCTGTGTAAGTATATATGTGTGTGTGTGCTCCACATACATGAGAACAGATGTTAATGTAAAGGGCGTAACTGCAGGTCCCCACGTTTGTCTGCCTTGTGTAGAGAGTGCTCAGTTAATCTCAAAACCAGATGATGACAGGTAATATGCTGTTAACAACGTGGTTTATTCTAATGAGCAGTTGGTCAGCTCTGTTCTTCGGTTTACCCAAGTGGTGCTTTCAAGGCAATATTTGAAAAAACTTGTGTTTAGGTCATGTCTGTGTAAATACACAAGGTTAAAGATAAGAGTGGATTGAAAATGGAACTGTCCTCTTTCCAGCCAGGACGAGAGGAAGAAACGCACGTTCAGAGACTATACCAGTCAGAAGATCACGCTCGAAGCTGTCTTGAACACTGTGTGCAAGAAATGTGGTTGCAAAGGTATGTTCATGCAGTGCTGTCTTGTTCTTTCAATGGAGCCTTGTTCTAACCAGGGATCTGTGGATAGGGTTGTATTGGCGTCTGTCTCCCAGTTGTGTGTGAGGACTGAATTTTTCTTCCATGTGTCCCTTTCAGAGGAGAACGACATTTTCTATCACTTATTACAAAAAGGAAAGGCTTAGCTTAGCTGAACTCCTTTTACAAAGGTTTGTTTCTTAAAATTGCCGTTGAGCTTCCTGTAAAGAACCTTCTTACCGAGGACGGGTTTGGTCCAGGTTCCCTTCTTGCAGTATTTGTGTTCATGTGTCTTGCAGTGTAGGTCTTGTCCAGTTTTGCATTTTAAGAGACAAACGTGCCTTCACCAGATCATTTCATTATGAAGAACCATCAGTGGAAGTCACTGCTCAGTTGTTGGGAACACAGTGTTCGCTTGCGAGCAGTGCCTTAGAGCTGAAACCAAGCATTTGGTTTCTTTTAACCTGGTGAAATGTTTGTGTCTTGCCTCGTTCAGCACTGGGAAGTTGCCTTCTGTGGTGCCTTTTCAGTGGCTTTTTGCAGGTTGCTGAGGAATAAAGTAGGATTTTTTTGTACATGGAGTTTTCGCTGCACCCTACTTGTCTTGTTATTCAGCCATAAAAGCTGGAGTTCCTGCTCTTCTGGAGGAGGTTGATAGTTAATATGGTTCTCTGTAGTGATAAATAACTATCTTTAAAATACCATTTTAAAGACTCTCCATAACTTTAAAATGGGTTCTGCATGTTTCCAGTCTGCTTTTTAATGAAGATGTCTATTCATGGCAGGCAGGCGCTACCTATCTGTAGTTTCTGCTATAACCGTTAGTAGGTCAGCTGTGATGTCTCCGGAGTGGAAAGGGTAGAACCAGAACGAGCTGATTTCCTCTGTATTTGTGGCTTTGGTCTCATCTACCAGGTGCCTGTCACACCCATGTACTCCCTTTGCCGTGTGCTTTTCCGTGCTGTTTAAGCCCTTGTGCAGACACGTTTCTACCAGTTGCCCTGTTCGGACACGAGTGTCTTATTGTTTTTGCCTGATTAATCTTTCCAGAATGACCTGGGTTCTGTTTGCTCCCCAGCTTGTTTAATCAGGGTATGTTAAACTAGCTGAAATGCTGGTGCAAAAAATGTACAGTGTAGATTGTCTTATTGGGACTAATAATAAAAAAGATCATTGGCAGTGTTTCAGGTGTCTGAAATACAGTTTGTTTTTGTTTTTGTTTTTTTTTTTAAAAAGGGGGTGGGTTGCTCCTTCAAACACTGTTTTACAGGTCATTTTGCCAAGGAGTGTTTCGTGCAGCCTGGAGGCACTAAATACAGCCTCATTCCAGAAGAGGAGGAAGAGGAGGTGGCAGCAGCAGGATGTGAAAGAGATAAAAAGACCAGCCTGGCTGACGATTCATCAAAAAAAAGGAAAAAGGTATGAGATGCCCTACTGCCTGCCTGGGAGAGTGAGCCAGATAATTTGTTCTGTGATTTACTCCAGCAGTGTGGTTATGAGTGGCCAGTTCTGGGCTGAGGTGTCTCAGTTTTGTGCAGATTCTGGAGCAAAACAAGAATCTCCTCTGCAGACTTTTTAGTAATTCCTTTACTTTCCTCCTTTAAAGTGTCTTTAAGATGGTTTTGTGCTATAATGCAGAGTCCTCAAAAGATATTTCTTAGAGCGAGAAAAGGATTATTTTTTTTTTCCTGGTTTTTGTGAGACTCTGTAGAAATCGCTCCAGTTTCCTGAATTACTGTGATTCTTGCCAAGAACCCTGTTTCCCCTCCCTCCTTGCTGCTCTTGCCCTAACACCTTTCTTTCACCCGAACTAAATGCCCTGCTGCCTTGCCACAGCGGGTATCCTGACCCAGCTGGTGTGATGTGAACCGGGCTTATCTGCACATGCCAAGGGAAAGTCACTGGCTGTATTTGCACAGGGAGTGTACTCCATTTCCAGGCTCTAAAGCAAGTTTTGTCCATGTGAAAATGTCAAGAGATAAGAGACCTTTTAGGTCCTGTGTTTACACTCTGGCTTCAGAGCACACTGGTGTGAAATGTAGGGGAGACCTGAATCCAAAAGCAGGAGTGTTTGGTGGTCAGGCTGTTCATAATACAGCAGTGAGTATTCTAGTTCTAGACTTCAGTAAATAAACTGTTTCATCAGCCCCTTCACAAATGGAGTCCAATGTCTAATTACCCTTCCAAAGCCTTTTTTTTTTTTTCTTTTTTTTCTCTTTCTAGCTCTGTGGCCTGTCTGTACCCCTGGAGAGGGGCAGCAGGCAGGAGAGGTGGTGGGTTTCCTTTTCCAGGAGAGGGACAAAGATGGTGTTAGCAGTTGCGTAGTGAGAACTCACTTCTGAGGGCTTCGTTCTCCCAAGCTCACTGTGGAGTTGCACGAGTTGCACCAGTACTAGTGCTAGTAGAGGAGACTGTAGATGCTGGTGACAGGGAACAGAGGAATCTGTTTTGATGGGAGCACTTGGAGCAGTCCAGAGCAATGCTGGTAGCTGCAGTCTTGCTTCCAGTCACGTTTTTCCCTGGTAATGTGGTTGATGGCACTTTGATGCCCTCTTATTTGAGTAAGAGAGGAGCAGCTGGGGGTTTTTGTGGGATTGTAGGTGACAACTGCACTGGAGTAGAAGACTCAGGTGTGTTGTGACTTCCCTTGTGTCAGTCTCTGCCCTGTGTTCCTGTCATACAGTCAGTACAAAATGAGGTTAGTGTTAATTTGATGATTAATCTGCAGTTCTTGCCCAGTAGCACTATGGATAGCGGATCCAGTCGCAGGAACAGAATCTTTCTTGACTGTAGATCCTGTTGCCATCCCAAGATGTTGCTTTGCTTCCCCAGTACGTCGGCTCTTACTCAAGAATGTCTTGGACTTGTCTGCAGAGTGTCGTTATGCTGCGATAGAAAATACACATAATCTATTCTGATCTCAGAAGCACGTGGTTGAACCGGATTGTCTTAGATCCCAGGCCAACTGCAACTGACCTCTACGGACTCCAGCCGTTGGGCTTCTCTCTCGCCGTGGAGCCGTGTGGGAGCTGGCCAGCGGTAACCCCTCGGCAGGGCTCGCTTCTGCCTTGGTTCTCTTTCCTCTAGCGGTGATGATGGTTTGTCTAGTAAAGGCCCGTGTAACTTTTATTTAAATGCTCTGGGGAAAAATGACACTAAGAGGTGCACATCTCAGGTTATCATCTCAGTGCCTATCCACCAAGGTGGGGATTCCCTGGGGAGTCTTGCCTTGCTGTGATTACAGGATTTGCGGGTCACTGTCCTGAATTTGTACTAATTTTGGGGGTGCTGGTGGATTTACAGCCTTCCTTTAAACCTTGCTTGTTCCTTTGATCTTTCTCCCTTCTCAAGGAGGAGATCAAAAGTTTTCAGATGTTTTCCAGTGCTGGAAAATAAAACTTTGAGCTTTTTGAAGGCAGGATGTGGGATCCTTAAAATGAATAGCTCCCTTGTTGTCTCAGATGCCTGCTATGATCTTTCCACCATATGCTTCCCTGCTTGTCTGGAGCCCCAGGGGGATTTACACAAAGTAGAAATGGCTCAATCTACCTCCTAACAATTGCCTTGCTGACCCCATCCCACCCGATGTTTGTAACGTAAATGTAGAGCTTATACTTTGAAATGAGTAGATGGGGAACTGCTGTCTTCCAAGCATCCATTTACTGTCATAGCAATAGTATTAACGTTTGTGGTTGTTCATGATCAGTGCTTTCTGTTTCCTTGATCTGATGCTTCCTTGCAGTTTCTGGGTGCTCCTTCCTCTACTTACAGAGATATTCTGGGATCCTTTCCGCCTTTTTTTTTTTCGGCTTGCCTTCCCAACAGCTCCTCACATCCTCACTTTCATCCTGCCTGAGCCCCACAGCATTTACAGGAGTAAGAGATGGAGGCTTCAGGTCTTCAGGCTTCTGGTGTGACTGAGGGACAAGTCTGGTGACAGATCACCTTGTTAGTACTCTGCATGAGAACACTGTCCTGTCTCCTATAATCCCCAAGGAAATAAGCAACTTGAGGGAGAAGCGGGGATGCCGCTGTCGCAGCGCTGTGTGGAAGTATGGGAGACCATCCAAGGAGTTGCTGCCAACTGCACAGGGACCTGGTCGCGTCCCTTTTGCTTTTACTCTTTGGGTCGCAGGGTGAAGGAGCTCCTATGGGAACACGGCAGCAAGCCTGTGCTGAGGTTGTGTAGGAGGGAGGCTTGCTGGGAAGAAATAAACCCTTCTGATTCTCCTCTCCTGTCTGTCTTTCAAGAAAATCTCTGCTGTTCTACACCAGGAGTAACTGCTTTAACTTGAATTCTACAAAAGCATCCATCTGCTGCTCAGATACATTGATTAACTTATCTCTGGGGTAGTTTTGCAACGCTGGAATTGCAGGGTAAACGTGACCTGTGATGGCTTTTTGGCTGACTTCACTGCTCTTTCCCACGATGTAACAGATTTCCGGGCAATGTGCTTGCAGATGCTGTCTGTTCATGTAAAAACCACACCTTAATTGTTCAGTGACCTGGAGTTCATCAAGCCTTAGTCCATCACCACTTGTAGCTGGTACTTGTTTTACTAGTTCTTGAATGGCATCGCCTCAGGGCACAGCCCTTCACACACCTCTGCTGTCCTCTCATTGTCTTTATCTCTGCTTTTCTGAACTTTATTTATTTAATGGCCACGGACTGGATTCTTCTCATCAGATTAGTTCTGACTGGTCTTCAAACAAGGGAAGCAATAGTGCCTTTAGAGTTATGTAAAGAACCCTGTTTGGATTTAAAATGGGTGATGGAATTTAGCTTTTGTTTTTAAGAATAAAAAAAAAAACAAACTAGAAGGAATACTGGCACCTCTCTGGAGATGCAGAAAGACATGTATCTGGAAATCCCTTCTGATTTTTCACAAGGACAGACATAAAGTCTTCAAATGAGACCATAACTCTACAAAAGGGCCTGGCAAAAAATATTTAAACTTCTTGGAGAGTTCTAGACACTCCCTTCTTCTCTCAAATACCTTTAGAAGGAAGGAACTGTTGTAACATTCTTAAAGCATAGCCCTTGGGCAACTTTCCTTACAAAGGACAGGAGAGAGCCTGGTGTGCTGAAGCTGTCCCTTGTTAGTGCCAGGTTTAAAAAAAATAACTGGAGCAGTAGGAGAACCAGCACTGTCAGGCTCTAGCCTCTTGCTCTTCTGCCTGCCAGCTCCCAACACAGGTTTTGTAGATGAGAGATGTTGAAGGAAGCTTATTCCTTTTTGGCAGAATTGTAATCATTACATAATTCGACCAGGACATGCAAGAACTGTGACGTGCAGATCTTCGGACTCCTTGTGCCTCTCTGTATCTGTACCCTGAGAGTCCTTGGGCAAGATCCTCCAAATGTTTATAGAAATGGAGTGTTTGATGTTTGGGGGAGTGCCTGGGTGTGCCCGAGAGCTGAGTTGAGCTTCATCTGTCAGCAGCCATGGGTTCTGGAGACCAGTTTGAGTCTCTGGGTACGGCAGAGCTTTGCTGCTGTTGGTGGAGACAGAAAACTGGCCTTTGCTTTGGCGCTGCCATCTCGCTCCCACTTGCACAACACTGAGTTGACTGCTAACCAGCATGGCATGGAAAGGTGGCCTAGTGCTTGTCTCCCAGTACCAGATTGCTGGATTTTAAAGAAATCTGTGGTCTAATAGAAGATTGCTGCTTGTGCAGAATGATTTCACAGCAGCACTGTCTCCTGCTACAGAAAATGCGAAGCTCTTCTGTCGCTGGTGGGCTCCCTGCAGTATTTGCAGTCCAGCGCGTGCTTATGCTGCCATGCTGGCGTTGCTGCGCTGGAGGGACTTGTTCTGTGGTGTTGTGAGTGATTTTGTTATTAGAAGTCCCCCAAAAAGGGGAAACCTAGGTGATTTTTTTTTTTTTCAGCCAGCACAATGTCCATGTATGTACTTTTATTTCCCCTGTAATCCTGAAGGAACGTGTGTGACATCCTGTCCTGTCTTCAGCCTTCGCATGCTGAGAGTTTCCCAAGCTCTGGAATGAAACTCTGCTAGTTGTTAAGGTCTTGTCAAACTTTCTCACCATGTGCAGGAGCTGGAAGAGCTTGAGAAAGTTTTCCTTGCTGCATCCCTTTCTCTAGAAGGTTTAACTCTTTACCATCCTCTTCTAAAGACCCTTAGGATTTGCTTCAGCCCTCAGTCTATGGGTAGGGAACTTCATAGCAAGTCTGGTATTGTCCCACAGAAAAACAGACACTCAGATTCTGGGTGACCTCAATGATCATTGTGCTCTTGTGGGGCTATGAAAAACTGATACCTGCCAAGGATCTGCTGGGTGTGGAGTGAACTCAGTCCTCTGCTCTCTTCCCTGGAGTCCCAGAGGAACTTTGCTTGATGTTCAGCTCTGAGCTCATCTTTGCTCTTCCACCTCCATAAAAGAATTTAACATCACAGAATCCCAGACTGGTTTGGGTTGGAAGGGACCTTGCAGATCATCTATCTCCAACCCCCCTGCCATGGGCAGGGACACCTCCCACTAGCCCAGGTTGCTCAAAGCCTCATCCAGCCTGGCCTTGAGCCCCCCCCAGGGATTTAACGTTAAATAAGCTCCTAGCTCCCTCCTTTTGTTGTCACAATTTGATAGTTCGTACCCGGCGCTAGGACACACAATCTGTGCTGAACTGATCTCTTTAGCTGGGCCTTTTGTGTACCCACTCTTACGGGAGCATATTGTTGTTTTTAAATGAAATGTGGACAGACTCTCCTTGTCTTCCCGTAAGCCAGGATATCAATCTTCGTATGGAAACTGCTCTTGTCTGGAAGTGGCTGAAGCTAATGGAAGAACTGTCTTTTGGGAAGAACCCCGCCTTCTCTGTGCTCTCTGCATTGGGGCTCTTCTTTTCCTCCAAGCAATTTTAAGACAACTTGCCCATTCAGGGGATGATTGTGGGTGACACTGGAGGGCTACCAGCAACCCTGTGCCCTGCCCACTGTTAACGCCTACGTAAATACAGCTCGGGCTTGGCTTTAACCTGCTGGCCTGACTTGGTGAGCTACCTGAGCACCTCCACGCCTACAGCAGACAATGCAGAGCCAGGATGTCAAAGTCAGTTACTCCAGGGGATTTATTTTTTTTTCCCCCTCTTTGCCTCATTTTTCATGCTGTGCTCAGCATCTGCTTCTGGTTTTCTTCCGAACAGATGAGCGCTGGTTTCTTAGCTCGGGGTCCTCTGGGTGAATGTGCACTTGCTGCCATTTTCCAGCTTCCTTCTGTGGAGCCGGTTTTCTTCATGTGGATGCTTTCCAAGTGATTTCCAGCCAGGGTTGTTCTTTTCCCCGGGTGGGTTGGCTGTGTGAATGGCCTAAGGCAGCATCTGCGGGTCTCTGGGGGAGGATGGAGCATCTCAGGCCAGACCCACAAAACTGGTGTCAGCGCCGGGTTCAGACCTTTAGCCCCCATGGCCAGCCCTGTGCTGCGCCTGGTTGTGTCGGAGCAGGTGGAAATTTCTGCCCACACTGATCATTCTGGTTTTGTACAGGTATGTCGTGTGATTCCGTGGCTGATTGCCGCTGTTCCCTTCATCTCATCACGGGTTCATTTTCTGTCCCTTGGCTTAGATTTTGGGGTGGCTCTGGGTGTCAGCAGTGGCTGGCCGAGGAGGGACCTCCCCGAGAACACGTCCTGCCTGTGGTCCTGTGACTGGCACAGCCATGCCCTTGCGCTTGCTCCTTCTTCCAGCTTCCTTGTGAAAGGAGCGCCTGGCACCAAGAGCCCTGCCAGGGCCGGGGTGACTTACAGCAAACCTGTCCCAGTAAAACTCCGCAAGCCCAAGGTTGGCCTTGAGGCCCTTTTCTTTTTGGCAAGGAAAAGAAGTGGAGCTGTTGGCTTGGGGGCTCCAGGCTTCTCCCATTACGCTCCTTTCCGTAGTGGAATGTAAAACACGTTTGTGTGTTATGCTTGGGGCTGTCATTTGACCCCTCTTCCTCTCCCATTGTGCGGCTCCCAGTGCACAGCCGAGCTCTGGCCAAGCCATCCGTCATCCTCATTAAATTAGGGTCAGACCAGGGAGAGAGACATGGCTTTTTGTCTGGCTTACCAAGATTTCTTCTCCTGGACTAGCGATGCCTTGAAGTGAATTCCCTGGGCTTCTCCCACCCGTTGGCGCAGGCTCAGCAGAGTCGTTACCGCTGCTAACAGAGATCTCAGCTCTCCGGGGGTGGTGGTCAGCAGGGGAGGCAGCACCACAGCCGTGGCTCCTTGCTCACGCTCTGCTTCGAGATCTCACTTTGTCCCCAGCTGTGATGCTGCTGTGCCGTCCCAGCTGCGGGGCACGTTTTTACAAACCTGAAATGACACCAGTCTGAAGGGGATGCGTCCAGGAAGAAAGGTGAAGCACGCATAGGGGCTAAGGAGCTGGGCTATGACTGGGGGGATAAAAAAAACCTCATCTAGCTGAGCTAGTGGTAGGACATGTGTCACTGGCACCTGGCTGTGTTGTTAAATTATGGAAGAGAACAGGGTGCTGGTTTGCAGCGAGTTAGGGAAGGTTTGTGCCCAGTCGTCCGGAGCAGTGAGGACACGTGGGTCACCCAGGAAGGTGGAGCTCGCTTTATGCACCAATGCTTAAAAAATGGCTTGGTCAGAGCAGCAAGCTCTGCTCGCTGGGTTGCATTCCTCACTGGTGGTGTCTAAATCTATAGCATGGGCTTGGGTTGCCTTGCTGGCACACGTGCGCTTCATGAAACCTGCTTTTGCTTCATTCCTTCTGTCCTCTTTGTGTCTTTGGATAGAAAGAAAATTCATGATAGCTGCTTGCACAGGAAGGGCTCTCTCTGATGTTGATGTGGCTGTGGAAGAAATTGGTGGATCCTCGTTGGAGGCCAGTGTTGCTGGGCTTGGACAGAGAGCTGGAGCTTTATATTAACCCTATGAAAAATATTAAAATTATTTTTGGGGGCCCCTCACCTGTGTGCTGCCTTCCTTTACATCCCAGAACCAAGGTGTGCTGAAGTAAATACCTGTTTTTTTGCTGGATGATAATTTCTTTTTCAAAGAATTTTCCTATAAAATATATGTGGGAAAAACTTCTTCCATCTTGTTCTGAGAGTCGCTCTGCACGATAATTTTGTGGGCATTCAGGAAAGGTGAGTTGAGCTGGGATCAGATTTGGATGTTTGTGCACAAAAGCCGACTGTGCCGGCTGGTGCCTTCTGAGCCCTGTGTGTTCTTGGCAGCGACACTGGCCGGGCTGGCACTGGCTGGCCCCGCCGGGCCCC